GGCCCGCCTCAAATACCGCAAGCACACACAATCTAAAAGACACGGGAGGCTGACGGTTGACTGTTTGTTGACTTTAATTGGCAACATTGCTGAGAAGCTTGTGGCCTCTAGGGATGCTAGATGTGAAAGTTCAACACATTCTCATCCTTTGGCATCATATAGGTGACGCCACATTTTGTTGAAATACTACGCACATGGCACGCTTTAGCGTCAATATAACATGCACCCATGCTACCTATGTAATGGGTAGGTTAAGGGTCTGGGGTAGGGTCTGTGTCTCAAATTGACACTAAAGGATGCCAGTCACCTGTATGACGCCTTGGTTCTGCGTGTTATATTGACGCTAAAGGGTGCCATGTAGTATTTCAAAAGAAATGTCATAAGGCGTCACCTATATGACGCCAATGGATGAGAACGGGCTCGAAAGTTACAGGTCGAGCGCCGCTAGTGGCCGAAAGTTCCGCAGTGTGGCTTTAAAGGGGAAATGAAGTGGTGAATCAAGTTTACATGATTTACAAGATGGATTTCCAATATAATCAACAATTATATAAGAAACATTACAAATGTAAACATTTAGAAGAAAAATAGAAAAAAAATCTTTCGCCGCCAGGGCGCCGCCATTGTGCAGGTGACGTCACGGGGTTGGTTGGCTCAAGTTTAACAGGCTCTGGGCATTGAAAATCGCGACATCAAACTGTGTTTATACCAGTGTTTTGACCGCGAACGACTAATGTTAGGTACAGATATTAGACAAAAAGACGACGTCTCATGTTATATGTTGACAAACTGCACATAGAAACATTGTTCGGGATGTCAGCCGTCAGATATTCCCGTCTCGTCAACACTATGTAAGTTACGTTGCTGTGTAGAACAGTCAGTGGTGGTTTGGGGCGGAGAGCGGGTTTGCAACGCTAACTTACCAGGTGTCAGTGTGGCTGTTGTCCTGCGATGCCCTCCGTGTCAGAGTCCATCTGTTGTCAAAAGGTTGATCTTGAGCATGTGTTGCGTGGTCAATTCTGCATCACCGGCGCGCACGTTTACCATGCTGTGCCGGGAGTTAGACGTGTGGAAGCGGCGATGCTTTCCCTGAAGGATGTCAGAGCGGAGACACTTTTTCCTAGTATATGTAGGCTGTAGCTAACGTTACTAGCACTACCAATGTGAAAATATGGACGTTTCATTTCCCCTTTAACAAATACGTGCTAACTTACATGTTATTGACGAGACGGGAATATCTGACGGCAGACATCGCGAACAATGTTTCTATGTGCAGTTTGTCAACATATAACATGAGACGTCGTCTTTTTGTCTAATATCTGTACCTAACATTAGTCATTCGCGGTCAAAACACTGGTGTAAACACAGTTTGATGTCGCGATTTTCAATGCCCAGAGCCTGTTAAACTTGAGCCAACCAACCCGTGACGTCAACTGCACAATGGCGGCGCCCTGGCGGCGAAAGATACAAAGTTTTTTATTTTTTTCTTCTAAATGTTTACATTTGTAATGTTCCTTATATAATTGTTGATTATATTGGAAATCCATCTTGTAAATCATATAAACTTGATTCACTTCTTCATTTCCCCTTTAAGTAGGTAGTTTGTTTCTTATGGCCTTTAAACCTTTTTTAATCCAAGACATTTTTTGGACAATAACCCACATGTTTAGCTGCTAGACTAAATCACCACTCTATAAGAATCACACTGACTTACTAAAATGAGAATCTCCTGCACATAAAATAGCAGTCACGTCTAGTCTGATGAAGATGAATCAGTTTCCCAAAAGGTTGAAATAACAATATAAATTATTAAATAAAACAAACAGAGGAGACATCACTGCTGCGGCAGTGGAGAAACTAGCCTGGAGAAAGACCTTCTGCGGGAGCAAAGGAGACATCACTCCTGGAGAAATTGAGGAAATTGAGGGAGCTCCTGGAGAAATTAAGCTCCCCTGGTGTGAGGCTAAGTGAAGGGAGGAGGAGTTTGGGGTCTGGCAGACCTATGCTCATCTTCTTGCACGTTAATTAAAGACGTGAGGAAGAGGAGGTGAGAGATTAAATCCTTTCAGGATCATGCGCATCTACAGTTTAAGTGGCCGAGCGAAGATAGCAGTTCGCGTTTAGAACAGTTTAGACTTTCTGGGAAGGTGGACGAGGTCAGAAAAATCCTATATTTTTTTCTTGTGCAGTGAGGCCTGGAAATCACCTGTATCCAAGTTAATACCCAGAATTATGGACAAGGCTGAACCCATGGTGTTAACATGTGCAATTGGAATCCCAAACTCAGCAGAAACTGTGCAGGGCTGAGAGATCGATTATTAAACATTTGAAAATGTTCTTATTTTTTTCCGTTTATTTTCATCATTTCTATGGGTCATGCCGATTTGTTCCTTCTGAATCAGAAAAAAAACAATAGTGTGAATCTGTGGGTTTAAATTACCTACTTCCGTGGTGTATCCAGGACATTTTTTGGGGGGGCCAAGATGGGACACAAAGCTAGTCTGGGGTGACCATGGCATAGTGAAGTTTAATGCATAGATGTAAGCAGCCGACCATAGTTCGAATCCCGGTCTTTTGCACGTCACATCCTCTCTCTCTGAGAACATGATTTCCTGTCTCATAACTGTCAAATAAAGGCCTATCCTGTTAAAAACAATCCTAACCACCTATCACAGTCCTCAAGTATCTCTGGTTATTTCAACATGTCTATTTTTAATCAGTAATTATAGTCAGGATAGGGTAAATATTTTCTAAGAACTTCCTTAGATTTCCACGACGCATGCGCGAGAATTGCGATCTGAAGTGGTGTAAGCTGATGTGAGCAGATCGCAAATCTCGCGCATGCGTCGTGGAAATCTAAGGAAGTCTCGTTCTGGCCTACAAGGAAGAAAAGAAATAGTCGAATAAACTCGTTATTTTTGTTTGTTTTTTCGCACAAAAAAGTATTCGCGTCGCTTGATAAACATATAGTTGAGCCACGGTAGTCACTTGGGATATTTAAACATTTTCTTCATTGACTTTCTGGGCCGTCAAGAGGCAGTCCTTTAGGAGCCAATGTGGTAGTTATACAGCTCTCAAATTTAATCAAAATATCTTCATTTGTGTTCCGAAGACGAACGAAGGTCTTACGGGGTTGGTACAGCATGGGGGTGAGTAATTAATCACTTAATTTTCATTTTGGGTGAACTAACCCTTTAAGGCTAGGTAACAGAGCAGTCTTCGGGAACCTGTAACCAGGAAGACCCCATACAGTGCTGTGTCAGTGTTTTCCCAATGGAAAGCACCCACACACTACTGTGTGTCTCTGTCAGGAATGCATTGCTTACTTTTAGAATCATCTTTGAGTAATTGATGTCATGTATTTATTATTTCTGAATTGGCTGTTAATTGCTTGTGTAATTGGCATGATACATTTTTACCTGACAAATAAATGTTATATCTTGATTCATTCTGAAATATTCTGAAATATTTATTTAAGTAGATTATAGGGGGCTGGTGCTACCGCAAATCTTACAGGATAGGTCAAACCAAAGACAAGGTGTGAATGGAGCAGTAGGCACATCCTCTGGAGACCTTTTGATTTCTGTCTATCACTGATTTAGCAAGTTGTACGGAAATGGCTTTGTACATTCTTTGTACAAGTGAGCAGTAGGCAACTGACTTAAGAAGTATTAGCTAACCCTGCACCCTCTGACTAAATTCAGAACTGGCAAGGTTTGTGTCCATGAGAAACACAATCC